GACTTCTCATACCCGCTGAACTCCTCGAGGACAGGGACCCCACATAAATGTCTGTTGAAGGAATGCATTCAAGCAGTGCCCTACCTGTAAAGTAAGGTGGCAGTGCCCACCTCTTGGGTCTGCGGGTAGAGAGTATAGCACAAACTAAGTGGGGTCTGAGTCACAATTATCACTGTGAACTTCAGGCATGTCGTTTCTTTTAGAGAAAAAATAAAGACCCTCCTATTCACTCCAGGTTCTCAATTTCCTTTTTCTTTTTCCCCCAATAGGGTACTGACATTACGAACCTGACATTACGAGTTTGGGCCTTTCAGGTTCACACTTTGTGGTGATTATTACAGTCAGCTCGCATTATTCTGAATCCTGTCTTTGACAGCAACCTGAAGTGCTTGAATTGTCAACATAAGACTACCAGAAAGCATTGGCAAAATATCTGTTCGGAGAACAATAAAAAAATACCTGTTCCGAGAACAAAAAAAGGTTCACATATCATATCCTCTTGATCATCCCTACTTTGTTCCACCTAAACCTCGAAGGTGGTTCCCCAAGACTGGTTTCTATGAGAGGAACAAGGAAGGGAGAAATGAGAGAACATACAGAATAAAATATGAAGACTACGAGCAGCTGAAGCGTGCTTAAAGCACCAAGTTTCTTTTGTAGGAAAATGATGTGGCATGCAGGTGAGCCTGCAGGCACTGGCTCGTGGGTGGGTGGGTGGGTGGGTGGGGGCCTCCCCTGGGAGGAGGCCCTTGGTAAGCCAGCCCTCCTGCCCTGGCCTGCTGCCTGGGTCAGGCATGGATCTTGATGAAGGGCAAAGGTCATACCTTTCAGACTTTGGGATGCTTTCCCGGAGGCACAGCTGCAGCCTCGAAACTGTTCTGCAGGCTCGCCTCCTCGTTTTTAAAGTAGCACAGAATGTGCCTCTGCAGATGAGAAACTCTCCACCTGAAACCAGCGGCAGCTCAGTGGGAATCCCGGATCTGGGAAGGTCACAGAGGGGGTCAAAAAGGGCTCTTTCTTCTGTGGCCAGAGGGGGCTTATTGTTGCTGGTGCCCAAACTGGAAAAGGAATGGCAGGAGATTAATAATTGAAATGTTGCTATTATTGGTTTTCTAAACTGTGGGTTATTCTTTCCCTGGAGTCATCATGCCTGTAAGCAGCTCAAAAGATAGCGGGATTTAACACACACTGAGAAAATGCCCACCACAGCCAGGCACTTTCCATCCACTCGTGAGAAGTGAGAAGTTCGGCAACACCTCCCGAGACATACGCTAGCTCCCTCTGATTCAGATACTGTACCCACTGCCCGGAACTAAGGTGACATTAATGAGCCTTGATTCACTGCTCAAATGTGGGGAGAATGAAAACAATATTTATACTTACTCATTTAAAACACGTAACACACAAACACAAGAAAAGATATTTCAGAACATGTGTCATCAAATTATTTTAATGGAAGATGATTCAGAACCCATTTCTTGGTAGGCATCTTGGTAGGTGTGTTCAGGCCCATCCGATGATAGATTTCAACACTTTAGGGAAGTCTGACTGTGTAAGCCAGTGGTTCTCAACCTTGGCTGCACATTAGAATCACCTGGGAATCTTTTTTTTTTTTAATATATGTTACTGATTTTTTTACAGAGAGGAAGGGAGAGGGATAGAGAGTTAGAAACATCGATGAGAGAGAAACATCAATCAGCTGCCTTCTGCACACCCCCCACTGGGGATGTGCCTGCAACCAAGGTACATGCCCTTGACCGGAATCGAACCTGGGACCCTTGAGTCCGCAGGCCGACGCTCTATCCACTGAGCCAAACCGGTTAGGGCCCTGGGAATCTTTTTAAAATCCTGATTTCTGGGCCTCGTCCTCCGGAAATTCTGTTTCTTTGTTACTAATGTTGTGGCCTCACCCCATAACAAACAGAATTTCCGGAGGATGAGGCCCAGAAATCAGGCTTTTAAAAAGATTCCCAGGTGATTCTATTGTGCAGCCAAGGTTGAGAACCACTGGTGTAAGTCGTCAACGTGGCTCCTCTCAGGTACAGCAGAGCATAACTAACTTGGGACTTAGGGTCTTCTCCTTCAGAGCCTGTGGCAACACAGATCTTTTCGGTCGGCCTTTGCACTACATGTTGAAAAAAGCCTTGCTAAGCAAGTCGATGGAGTAACCAACAATTGTGAGGCAAATGTTTAACCTTCTAAAGAAAACAAACCTTTTTAAAGAAGTTGAACCTAATCAGGACCGAGCCACTGGAAACTAATGTGCTATTTATAAACCTATCCTTAGAAGCAAATTGTGGAAGACTGATTACACTCCGCCACCCAGTAACTCGCATTAGCAAACACGCCCTGTTTGGAAGACAGCCTTTCTCGCTACACATCGGGCAGCTCAGAATGCTCCCCTCGTGCATCCGGGTTTTCAGCCCATGTCCCAGCTTGGGGCGACTGCACCCCATTTAAACAAATGCACTCTCCTGAATGACAGCTGAAACGCCTTCACCTGTCTCCTGAGAAGAACCCCAGGCCCGATTTTTTAGTAGCGTAAAAACTACTAGAAATCACTCTTCCTGGAGAATTCCACGGGAAAATTCCTGCTCCTTCAGGACACACACAGGGAGTCCTCGTGTTCTGACCGGGATCTGGTAAAAATCAGGCTCACTGAATCCAGCAGGTATCGCCAAGGAGGGAAAAGGAGGTCACTGGAGTCTCAGAAGCACTCAGCACAGCGAGTGGAGGTTCCAGCGATACAATCCTTGACTCTGGAGGTCACCTGTCTGTTTCAGAGCGTGACCAACAGACTCTTTCAATAAGACCCTGGACGTGTGCAGACGGATGCTGAACTGGTTGAGGAGGGGAGAAGAGGAAGACTAGGAAAAGGATGACAGTGATGCACAGAGACACTGAAGAATCAAAGCGTACAAAGCCTAGGAATAATTCAGAGAGCATACAAACAAGACGGAGGGAAGCCCAGGTTGAAAGCGGTGACCAGGGAGATCACCTGGGACAGGGAGGGAAGGCTTGCAAACAAAACCTGCACTCCTGAGACCTCTGAGGTCCCTAGTGAGTCTTCAACCATAACACCTTGCACACCCACAGTCCTGCATCTGGGGTGAACAGGAGTGCCCAGGCTCAGCCCCAGGGGTCGGGCCTACATTCCACATGGATTTAGAATGAAAGGAACAGGAGGAGAACAGTGCCGTTCCCAAGATGGCTTTCCACAAAGTTGACAAAATACATCCCAACCCACACACTCAGCCCCTGTGAAAGGGAAAGCAGCCGGTTTACTGTAGTTCTGAATTCAATGCCAAGTTCCTTCTCTAATGCTCACCCGGTGTGTCCAGCAGAGGGAGTCTCAAGGAGGTACTTCATAAAGAGAAAATTGTTTCATTTTAACACTCCATAGACAGTGGGAGCATTGACGGTAGCCCCCTCCCAGAGACACAGACGAACAATGAATGCCCAACATGGGTTCTCCTAGCAGGCCACAGAGCCACGGGCTCCTTCTATGCTGCGTGGTGGAGTGATCAGAAATTTCGTTTTGTTTTGTCGAATGGTTAAATGGACCTTGTGTTCTTCAGAATCAAAGAGGAAAGCCCCTGGAATAACATCTCTCTGTTGCCTTCTAAACAGCCCCTTTGTTTCCAAGAGAGTCTGAAAAAAAATATTTACAGTCCATAGGTTATTTACAGCCTCGCTATCCAGGGCCTGACTGGTAACTTTATTCCACCCAGAAACCTAATTCATTTGGAGCCTTGGAACTAATAACAGATTTTCTTTGCAGATAAGTGGGTTTTTTTTTTAAATCTGCCTCTTACAACAAAGATAAAACTATTAATGCGTTCCCTGTTTCACTCGCCACCACTGCTCTCTGGATTTATGGAAGGATTAAAATCGCCTCTCCTCACCCCTCCTCTCTGCTTCACACAAACCTCTTCCCCTCTCATTTGCCATTTCATCCACTGAATCTCTGAACAAAACCGAACGAAAGCCAGATGGACTGCCGCTAAAAGTATGTAAAGGCTGCTATTCCAATGATTTCATGAGAAAAACATTTTCACGATGAAAAGATTGAAAAATCAGGCCCTCTTGGTTCTAGAATCCCTCCCACTACAGGCACACAAAAACACACCGAAGTGTAAAAAACTTAGTTGATTCTGGTTTGATTTCTGGCTGGAAACTGACAGAACTGACGGAAGAAAAACGAGAGGGAGGGAGGGCAGGGAAGCGAAGCGCTTTCGCCCTGCGTTTTCTTTCTTCCTGAAGACAGTCGAACCCGACAAAATGACCCAGCGCCAGGTGAAGGTGCGCCACGCAGAACACCCGGACCCGTCCAGAAAGACGTCTTGGCCGCCTCCCCAACTTGAAAACCTAAACTACATTTTCTCTTTACACACGTCGATGCGGGGGGATTTCAGGCTGTTTCATTGTTCTGCCCGGGTCCGACCCGGACTTTCCCTCCCGACCCCCTTCTCCTCACCTAGCCCCGCGCATTCCGACCCCACAGGCCCCCCAACCCGAGGCTCGCGGAGGATAAAGGAGCGCGGGTGGGAGTGGAGACAAATGGAAAAGGGAGCTGCGAGGACGGAGTGGAAAGGAGATCGTCCTAAAGGTAATCTTCGGGGGGTGGGGGACGAAAGCTACACCCATCACCTTTATTTATTACGAATAAATAAAAAGCACAATCACGGGATCCGTCTTTTCCAGGCGTCCCCTCCCCATTTCTTTTCTTCGGGCAGTAGCCCACCCTCGCACCCCCGCCCCCTCCACCCTGGAAATAAGATCCTGTTAAATTCCGGATCCCGGCCGTTTTCTGGGCAGGGGAGGGGATGGAGGGGAGGGGAGGGGATGGAGGGGAGGGGTCCGAGCCGGTGAAGCCCGGGGGTGGGGCGCGGGGGCCGGGCGCCGGGGCTGCGGACCGGGGGCTGCCCGGCGAGGGGCCGCGGGCAGAACAAAGCTGCGGGGGCCGCGGGCGAGCCGGTCGGCGGGCGGACGCCCCTTACCTTCGTACACGGGGGCCATCGGGGCCGGGGTGTCCGCGATTCATGGCAACGGAGAAGGGATCGCGGCGCGCGAGCTCGGCCCCCCCAGCCTCAGTCGGAATCTGCCATCTTGAGCCTGTGTCTCCGCTCTCGGCGCAGCCGGGGCCGCTGGCGCCCGCATCACCGCCTCACTTGGCCGGCGCCGGGGGAGAGAGCCGGGCGCCGCCGCCGCCGCGGCCCGGGCCCTGCGCGGGGCTCCGGGGCGGCCGGGGGGCGCAGCGGCGGAGGCCGAGGGGCCGAGCGGCCGCGGCCCCCGAGCGGGTCCGCGGTGGGGCGGGAGCCGGGGCGGGCAGCGCGCGGCCAGTCCCCGGCCGGAGCTCAGCTCAGCATGGCTGTGTGTGGGGGCTTCGGCAAAAGTTGCACGGGAGGCGGAGGGGCGGGAGCAGCCGGGAGGAGGGGCGGGGGGCGGGGGCCGGGGGGCGGGGAGCGGCGGGGCGCGAGCGAGCCGGGGAGCGGAGTCCGCGCGCAATCGAGCGCCGATGGCACGGATGCGAGGCGGGGAAGGCCGAGCCGAGGGCAGAGCGGCGGGCCGGGCGGGGGCGGGGGCGGGGCCGGGGCCGGGCGGGGGCGGGGCCGGGGCCGGGGCCGGGGCCGGGCGGGGGCGGGGCCGGGCCGGGCCGCCGCGATTAAAGGGAGCGAAGGAGGCTCGGGAGGGCGAGGGGTGCCCACAGGTCCATTTTGACTGGCGGAGGGGACCCGGCGGGCCAAGGGAGCAACCAGAACTTTGCGCGTGTGCGCGCGCGCCCTGGGGCGGGAGGGGGCGCAAACTAGAAGGGGGTGTCTCCCTCCGTCGCACCTGGTTGGCGCTCCCCGGCAGAGGTGTGGAGGGAATGAGTGAAGGAGCGGGCGCCAGCCGTCCTCGGAGGGAGGATGAGTGGAGCAGCTTGACATCCGTAGGAGAAAACGAAAAGAAAAAAATAATAAAAAGAAATCCATAGCAGGTCAAAGATGCAGAAGCCATTCATTCCGTGGACGCGCAAGGAATGCAGCACGCGGCGGTGGCTGCGGGAACCTGGTTTCCACGTCGTCTCACGCCCACAGGGGCCTTACAGGCTCTGCCATCACCTGGACGGTCCCCGCCGACTCGTTCCCAGGCCTCTGCCCTTCTCCGCGGAACCTTCCCAGGCCTCTGCTTTCTCCCATCAAGCCTTCCACGAAACCTCCAAACTCCCCAGCCCTGAGCCTCTCCAGGTTCACGTCTGCAGGCCCTCCTGGATTTGGTGACAGGACGCGCTGCCATGGCCTTCAAATTAAGAAGAGGCGTCTCCTGTTAGGCAGAGCTTTGGAAACTGTGGGTCGTGACAACAATCCATCATTAAAGAAATTAAGTAGATGGCAATCAGCTTTTTTAAAAAAAGAAATGTATCAGAATAAAAAAAAATTAGGATCCATTGCCCTTAGTAAGGGTAACTGGTTGCATAAATCTCTTGTTTCAGTTATATATACTGGACAACAGTACTGTACTATGATGTAATTGTATTTCCTAATACTGAAAGTCATGGATGAAAAAAGTTTAAAATCTATGTTTGGGGGTGTATAATAATGATTTCTAATATGGCACTATTTTCCTAAAACCAAACCCGTTATATTTTCACTACCACTTGTCATTCCCAACCTCCATACCCTGTGACCACCCTCCCCAAATGCCTCAAAAAAAAAAAAAAAAAAAGACAAGCCCTTTCATGCATCCTAGTTTTGTTAATGGCACATCATTCCCAATTCATATCAAGATGACCTTAGACCAGCCGTTTGAAATGAATAAAACTCCCGTTTGAAATGAATAAAACTAAAAAAAAAAAAGACCGTACCCTTTTATGTAATGATGTTTACTTTGAATTTATATTAGTTCACACAAACACTCCATCCATGCTTTTGTTCCGGCCCTCCAGTCCAGTCTAAGAACCCATTGTGGCCCTCGAGTCAAAAAGTTTGCCCACCCCTGCCTTAGATGCTGCCATCTTCCTTGTCCCCATATTCAATGCTACTCTTCCTACTGCTTCTCTTAGCCTGCCATTCACATTTGCAGGTTCCTAGAAACCATTGCTAGGACAGGATTCAGGTCTCTGGACCAGCCTTACCCTTTTAAAATTGAAGAAATGAGGCCCAAAGAAATGAAATATAATGCCCAGTGTTACACAGTATTAAGTCTTAGGGTCACATCTCTTGGCTCCCACTCTGGTGCTCTTTGCTTCACACCATTCATTCATCCCTTCCTTTCTGCCCCCCCTGCCACTCTTACCTGGTCTCAGCACAGTTCACATAAGCACCGCCACCTTCCTGACACAGCTCTGCCCATGCCAGGCTCCTGCTCACATGTGCCAAGGACTCAACCTCTGCACACAGGGCTGAGGTTACTGGCTCCTTGGCTCTCAGTCAAGGCAGGCAAGCCCTGACTTACCTTTCCAAGCACATGAGTTCAACACGTCTCTGCCCCTCCAGCCAGACTGGTTTACTCGTGGTCCTCTGCCAGCCTAGGCCATCTGGGCCTCTGTCTTTGCCCAGGCTGCTACTTTCCTACCAATGGTGCCTTCTCCAACTTCGCTCTTTAACCAGATTCTACCTGTGCCCAAGGTAGCATGAGATTAGGACAGACTTGGGTTCAGATCCCAGCTCTTGCATAGTAGCTGTGTGAATTAGTCAAATTGCTTAACTTCTCAGACCTTCAGTTCCTGTGTCTCAGTTATAGTGAGAATAGTGATAATGTCCTTTTCTTGTACTTAAAAGTCTCTATCACAACCTTGTCAATGTAAGAAATGTCCAAGCCTTTTCTGCGAGTTTATTTGAGTCAAACTGATGGCATATGCTGGGGAGCAAGATCCCAGATACTTTGGAGAATAATAGTTTTGTAGTTTCTTGCATGCATTTGAAATTAAGAAGGGAACATACGGAAGATGATATGGAGGTGGGAGAAAGCTAGGCGGGGCTTGGATTACAGGATAGTTAACAGTTAACAAGATTATGTGCTCATCTTGAGGGTGAATGCCTCTTCCTGGGGTATTACTTCTGGCATCTCAAAGGTGTGTTAACCTGTCCTAGATGCACACGAACAATGGACAGGGCTGGCTTAAAACCTTTCACTAAAAATGTAGGTCTGGGTGTGACTACCCACCACGACCAGCCCAGTTAGAAATTTATGATCAGCTCACCCTGTGAGGTTACTTCCCATAGAACACCCCCACCCCCACCCCACCTCTCTTTTGTCCACAACCTTTACCATAAAGGCATTATCTCTCTTCCCCTTTCCCGTGCTGCACAATAGAACTTTCTGCCATGCTGGAAATGTAACAACTTGTGGCTGCTGAGCACACGAAATGTGGCCAGTGTGACTGAGGAACTGAATTTTTCATTTTTAATTGATTGTCCTGTGTGGCTAGTGGCCACCATAATTGGACGGTGCACTTCTAACCGGTAAGCTCAGCCAGGGAAGAACCCATGCTGCTCCTGCATGTCATCATATCCCCAGCAGTAAGCACACGGCCTGGTAGGTGGTAGGCAGTGCACAAACATTGGTTGAATGAATGATAGCTGCCATTTATTGCACCTCACTTGTGCCAAGCAAAACACTAGGAACCTGATGTAAGGAATGTGGTATAGTTCCCCGCACAGCCCCTGAGGCGGAATTAGATTAGAGTTTGTATGGAGCGCTGGCCGGTAGTAGAAGTTCAATAAAAGGTGGTTATTATCATCAGTAAGACCTCCCAGTGACCATGATCATCCAATTGATGTCTATCTCCTCTTCTCCAGGCTTCCAGAGCAGTTGCTGCCTTCATACCCGCTGCTGTCCCATGGCGCATACCTCGGCTTAGATGGCGGACTCTCCTCTGTACAGGTGCCCTGTCCCCACAGCTGGGTTGGCAGCATCTGGGCCAGGCCCATGGCATTCTTGTTTGGATGTCCCTCAGCTCAGGACCTGCACTGAGTAGTGTTCAATAGTTGCCTCTAACTTTGCCCAGTTTCTGCCAAGCCATGGATTTCTTTTCCTTTTTTAAACAATCTTTATTGTTGAAAGTATTACATGTCTCCTTTCCCCCACATTGACCTTTTTCAGCCTGCCCTTTATAACCCCCCAAGCCCCCCAAGGCCTTCACCACCCTATTGTCTGTGTCCATGGGGCATATATGCATATAGGTCTTTGGTTGATCTCTTCCCACTCACCCCCCCCCCCCCCCTTCCCTCTGAGATTCCCCAGTCTGTCCCATGCACCATGAGTTTCACTCTCAGGCACCCCCCTCTGTGCTCTCAAAATTCCTATGCTAAAATCCTAGCCCCCAGTGCCTCAGAAGGTGACTGTTTTAGGAAGTAGGTTCTTTAAAGAGGTAATTAAGTTAAACTGTCATTGGGGTGGGGGTGAGGCTAATCCAATATAACTGGTGTTCTTGTAAGAAGAGAATTAGAACTCGGAGACACAGAGGAGAGACCACGTGAAGATATGGGGTGAAGGCAGCCGTCCTCAAGCCAGGGAGAGAGGCCTCAGAAGAAACCAAGCCCGCTGGTCCTTTGATCTCAGACTTCTAGCTTCCGGAATTGTGAGAAATTAAATTTCGGTTGTTGAAGCCAGGCACTCTGTGATGCTGTATTATGGCAGCCCTAGCAAACTAATGCACCCCATAGAAGGTGAATTAGCATAAAGAAAGACCATGCCCTGGCCAGGTAGCTCAGTCGGTTGAGCGTGGTCCCATGCCCCAGGAGGCTGCTGGTTTGATTCCCAGTCAGGGCACATGCCTGGGTTCCAGACCTGATCCTTGGTTGGGGCCTGTGTGGGAGGAGACCGGTTGATGTTTCTCTCTCTCTCTCTCCCTTCCTCTCTCTCTAAAAATCAATCAATCAATAAAAACATATTAAAATGAAGAAAGATCACCCGTGTGAACTGAAAACACCTTGAAAGTGGCCTCCAGAGAAGAGGGCGCCAGAGAAGCCCCACCTCCTCTTCAGACCCCGGACTAAAGCTGTACCTACCTATGTGCGGCTCCATTTCAGTAAAAGACATTCAGTCAAGCCCCAGCTGGTTTGGCTCAGTGGATAGAGCGCCGGACTGCGGACTGAAGGGTCTGGGTTCGATTCTGGTTAGGGGCACATGCCCGGGTTGCAGGCCTGGATCCCAGTAGGGGGCATGCAGGAAGCAGCTGATCCATGATTCTCATCATTGATGTTTCTATCTCCCTTCCACTCTGAAATCAATAAAAATACGTGGTTTTTTTTTTGTTTTTTTTTTTAAAAGACATTCAGTTGAGCTACATACTTGACATCACACAGGTGGAAATGTTACTTACATGAATTTAGATGTTTTGGTCATGAATTGGCAGGTTGAGCACGACTATCTGTCTTCCCCCGGTGACTGCAGCCGAGGGGGAGCAGGCTCTAAAGCCAACAGTGACATACCACGGAAGGAGGGTGTGAGGGCGGGAAGGGAGCGGGGCTGAGACAGAGCCCCGAGGAGCACCGGGATGGACATTATGCGGGGAGGAGAAAGGACCTCCTGTGAGGGCAGGGAGGGAGGGAGAAGGAAAACCTGGACAGAATGGTGCCTGGACATAGCAGGGCAAGGACACTGGGAAGGGAGGCGTGGTCAGCAGTGCTGGTTCTAATGGGAGGTCGCGTCACATAAAGCCAGTCAGGGGGCTTTACGTATTGAGCACCATGAATTATCCATGAGTGACTCTGGTGGTACTAATTTGAGGGAAATGTGTTCTTAAATTCACCCTGAAAAAAATAAGCAGTGTTTGGAAGTTGGAGATGGGAGGGTGAGGAGGGTTAGGGAGGCACCAGAAGAGGGCACTAGAGAGTCTGCCCCCCCCCCACCTTCCCCAACCTTCCCTGGATATTACTTCTGACATCTCAAAGGTGTGTTAACCTGTCCTAGATGCATAAGAACAATGGACAGGGATGACAAGAGAGAGAGAGCACAACATTTGGCTAGAAGTCGTGTACATTGCATTTTATTTATTTATTTATTTATTTATTTATTTAAAATATATATTTTTATTAATTTCAGAGAGGAAGGGAGAGGAAGAGAGAGAGAGATAGAAACATCACTGATGACAGAGGATCATTGATCTGCTGCCCTCTGCATGCCCCTCACTGGGGATCGAGCTTGTAACCCGGGCATGTGCCCTGACCTGGAATCGAATCATGCCCTCCTGGTTCATAGGTCGACGCTCAACCACTGAGCCATGCCGGCCGGGAGCATTTTATTTATTTAATACACCCAGTAGCCCTTAGTGTTCTGAGAAGTTTACAAATATCAACTCACTTAATAAATTCGATTTCTTGCACAACAAGGAACTCTAGGTTGCCAAAGAACTTTTAACTGCAGTGTGCTGGAGAAACAATAACAAAGGCAAGAGAACTGGAAACGATTTAGTAACACCACCTACGCCAATCACCTCTTCTTAATTGCCTTTCCATAAAACGGCGTGAGTAGTATGTTTCTCAGGGGTCGGTAGAGTAAGCACGGGGGAGTTCTTCCCTCGTTCCAAGTTCATTCTGCTTTCAGGACAAGTGACAGAGGGTCTCTCCTTCCTTTATGCCTGTAGTGGTGAAAATGCACAACACCAGTCTCGTCCAGGCCCCACGACGGGGGTATTTCTCTCTGGGTTGGAGCTCCTCAGGGGAGCATGTCCTTATCACTCTCAAGGTGTGCACGGCACGACGTCTGTGCAGCTTGCATCTTATTTGGACTTGGCATGCGTTGCCCTCATTTTCCGGCCTGGCCCCTACTTCTGTGTTGGCGGGTCCTGGGGTTTTGTCTTTGAAGGATGCGTCTGGGGGAGGCAGGTCCCCTTTCAGAATGTCTTTCGAGATCACACCCGTCTTTTGGTCTCTCCATCTATGTGTCGGTTTACATCTCTCTGTGACCATGATATATCTTTCTGTCTCTTCCACACATGACTTCTCCTCTGTCTCCCTTCCCCCCTTTGCAATTCTGTTTCTTAACAAGTCATAATACAGACCTGTTTGTTTTAGTTGTTCCTAAGGAATTACTGCAAATTTCTGAATTAAACCTTTGATGGGCTTAAATGATGCATTTTAAAAATAGACCGTGTCAATTTCTTCAGGAACCCTTAGGTAGCAGCTGTAGGGGTAGAGTATTACACTGATGAGGGTGTGGATGAGAAAGCACTGCATTCAGATGAGGAGACCACTGCAGCTCTGGCTCTGAGGGCAGAGAGTAGAGCGAGTGTGGCAGGTGGAGGGAGTCTGACTGTGGAAGAGGCAGCCTTTGAGGAATTGCACTGGCAGGATGGGCGGGAGCGGGGCGGGGGGGGGGGGGGGCGGGGGAGAAGGGGCATAATTCATTGTCTGCTTCTAGTCCTGGAAGAAAAAC